CACCCAAATTCCAAATTTCCCAAATTCCAAATCTTCCAAATCCCAAAACTTCCAAATTTCAAAGCTTGCAAATTCCAAATTTTCCAAATCCCAAATTTCCCAAATTCCAAATCTTCCAAATTCCAAATTTCCCAAATTCCAAATCTTCCAAATCCCAAAGCATCCAAATTCCAAAGCTTGCAAATTCCAAATCACCCAAATTCCAAATCTTCCAAATTCCAAATTTTCCAAATCCCAAATCACCCAAATTCCAAATCTTCCAAATTCCAAGTCTTCCAAATCCCAAAGCTTGCAAATCCCAAAGCTTCCAAATCCCAAATCTTCCAAATCCCAAATCACCCAAATTCCAAATTTCCCAAATTCCAAATCTTCCAAATCCCAAAGCATCCAAATTCCAAAGCTTGCAAATTCCAAATCACCCAAATTCCAAATCTTCCAAATTCCAAGTCTTCCAAATCCCAAAGCTTGCAAATCCCAAAGCTTCCAAATCCCAAATCTTCCAAATCCCAAATCACCCAAATTCCAAATTTCCCAAATCCCAAATCTTTCAAATCCCAAATCTTTCAAATCCCAAAGCGTCCAAATTCCAAAGCTTGCAAATTCCAAAACTTGCAAATTCCAAACCTTGCAAATTCCAAACCTCCCAAATCCCAAATCCCCCAAATCCCAAACCTCTCAAATCCCAAACCTCCCAAATCCCAAATCCTCCAAATCCCAAATCCCCCAAATCCCAAACCTCCCAAAAACATCCTATCCCCAAATATCAAATTCCCCACCAAACCCATCTTCCTCCATTCCCTCACCGCAATGAGCCCATCTTCCTCCATTTCTCAGAACACACACCAAACACATTTATCACTCATTTCCCCAACTAAGAAACCGTAGTCCGAACAGTTTCATAGCCACGAAGCAAAGTGCAATATGCGCAGATAGAACCGAATCGAATAAAGAGATCATAAATTAACGATCAAAAGCCTGCCTCGATTAAGCGAATAAAGTTAATGTCAAGGAGGCATCGAGAGCGTAAACAAGAATTGAATGACGTGCCCCTGGAAATCATTTGAAACATATCGAATGAAAACAAACGTGGCCATTTATCTCCGTATGATATACTGCACGCACGTTGATAAACGGCTAGCTCCGATACATTATCCTCTGTATTAATAGAATCGAAAAAAGCACTTTTGTCGTCATCCAAAGACAAACATTTAGATAGGTCGTAGATCACGTCGCAGCGATTAACAATGTTTTATGGGTTGTTTGCTGTGCTCGGATATCTTTAATGACGTCTGCGCTGAAGGAACAGAAAAATATAATTATTAAATCGATTTTGTGTTGTTCGTTGTGGAGTTTCGACGTAGTTTGCTTTTGCGGATTTGAATTTCGCGCCGGCGGTATTGCGCAGTGGCGCGCTATTTGAAGCTAGGTTGCTTTATGTAACTGTATTTGAAATGCTGTTATCTTATGTTTATGTTTCCACGTGGAAAATAAAACTTACACGTAATTTTATCCATTTGTCACGTTTTTATAGACTTTTCAAAACAGTTTGAGTAAACTGGCTAGACTTGTGATTAGATATCTGGTTGATTAATGGGAGTTTTGTAAAATTCTGTTTCAACAACTGTTTGTTACGTGCATTTTGTTTTTTGTTGAGATTAGAGATAAGTTTGTTATAAAATAGTTGTTGCAATTAGAAGATAAAGAATTTCAAGAGTACAGGTTATTTATAGGTACTTCTGTATCTAGTTATTAATTCAAGTAAATTTTCTTGAAAGAAAAAAGTAAAAAGAAAGCAAATTCTTTCTTTCGAAAAAATTTTCTAAAATTAAACAAGACACGATTAATTTAACACCAATATCAGATATAGTATGAATTGTCATTCTCGCAAAAAAAACTGGAACGGTTCCAGATAAATTCACTATCGATAACCCCAGAATACCTCTACTATCAGTGACGTCAATGTTTCATATTGAAAACTACGATTTCAAAAATCGGGAGAAACAATCGCAGTTATAATTTGCTGAATATCTTTATTTTTAGCGAAAATATCTTTATTTTTCTGCAAAAAGTTCTATCAATATCTGACATTTCTTGATGCAAAATTAAATGGAAGTTAAATACTAAATCTGTGACTGGTGTATGAATTTTATTAGGAAGTTACAAATTCTTTTGAGGACAAAATGAAATTAGTAATTGTAGAAATAAAAATAGTTTAAATTGTCTGTAGGAATTTAGATAATTTTTTAAAAATGAGTTTGCTCAATTTGACTAGTCTGATTGATTGTTAGTTAATTTTTGTCTCAAAATATATTTTGTTACAAATATTTTTATTTGTAATATTTTAATTATATATAACTTGTAATATACGCAACAAGTATATGAAATATAATGTACAGTAAAAATCCAATACATATTAATTTTTCAAAGTGTCAAAGTTTATATTGAAAAACGAACCCAAGAACCATAGCGTCCTCACAACGGCCATTTTGATTTGTCGCTCCACAAACGAGCGCCAATAAATATTTTTATTTACAACATTTTAATTATATATAACTTCTAATATACGCAACAAGTATATAAAATATAATATACAGTAAAAATCCAATACATAATAATGTCGTAAAGTATTAAAGTTTGCGTTCGAAAAATGAACCTAACCATAACGTCCCCACAGCGGCCATTTTGATTTCCCGCTCCACAAACGAGCCAATAAATATCAGTCACTGCGCAAATTTTTTGCACGATCGGTTGATTAATGTTCACAACAAAGAACCCCTTAACAATATCAGACGGTGCGAATTGATAAAAGGGAACTAGTCATATTCATTCGGGCTAACGATGGCCATGAGAACCGACCAATGAATTCGCGCGACGCAGTATTTCCCGATAAAAGGAAGTATATACGTAAAATGCACGCTGCGGTTAATTTTGTAAACATCGGCCGGCGAGGTCCAGCTTTTGAATCATCGGTCAGGGAAATATTAACCGGCGATTACTAACGACCGTTCATTTTACTTTGTGCAGCCGGAGGCCTGATGGCGGGTTCTGTGGCTACTTTGGCGATCCTGTGGGTCTCCTTGCAGACCATGGGATTCCTAGGGAATTCCCATTCCATAGGGGCCTATAAACTTCCGATGTCCTTGCAGAACTATCTTGCTAGCTATACCGGTAAGTTTACTTTTTACTTTTTTATTTGTTGAAGAATTTATTGGTGAAGAGGAGTCTTCAATGTCAGGATGATCCTAGATTACTTTAACAAACTTCTTCTTTTTTATATTTATTTTTATTTAGGGTGGTTTTTTTAAATTGAGGGGAGGTTCATGGTGTTTGTGATATTAATAAGAGTCAATGGGGAATTTTTGGTGCTGTCTTAAGTTCATAGTGAAATTAATACTCAAGCTTGACTACCGTATTTGTTCATAACTCAAGTCATCCAGGGACAACTTCAATTAAAATTGTCTGTTAAGTGAAATAATAAAAACGAACATTTTCAACAACAAAAATTTTCTCAATGAAACAAATTATCAACAATGAAAATTTTCTCAAAGAAAAAAATAGTCAACAACAAAAATTTTCTTAATGAAAAAAATGTTCAAGAATTTTCTCCCAATCCAACCAAAGTTCGATGCAAACCCCATTGAAATGACAGACTTCGTTTTACCGACGTTTTTAAAGGTATCCTTTCAGGTTTGCCGGTGTCGAACTACCCTTACGAGGGCGTCGTAGACGCGGGCCTTTTCCAAGATCGACATTACCCCCACATCGACAAGGCGGTGTTGAACAACTCGATCAGTTTCGCGAAAAGCTTGGTCGATCGTATGAGCACCCTCGAAAGGAATATCGCTACCGCTGGCGTCGAATTGATGGTTCACACGCCGGCTGGAAAGCAATTTCTAGATTCATATCCTTCCGAGGATGCTTTCGAGAGAGGCCTCGACGCCATCGTCGCGATGAAAGCTTCGTCCTATCTCCTTCATCAGAGCTGTCGCAGGTAACATATTTGTTTTATGCATTTACCCTCGTGACAGCGATGTACCAACTGCATCCTTCTTCGACCTTGTCTTAAACTTTCATTCATTTTATTGTCAAGACTTCATAACAGATTATGAGTAGCATGTTATAGAATTACAGTATAATTATATTAAAATGATTTATTTTGGTGATGAACAATATACGTATGATTATAGAACTTGCAACTCTTGTTGTACTTGAAGAAAGACCTCTCATAAGTGTCTCTAATAAAGTCTAATAAATAAGAACAATTTTAATAAAGTCTCATAAATAGCAAGATCTTTAATAAAGTCTAATAAATAACAAGATCTATCAATATAAATAAAGCCTCTCATAATAGTCTTCCAACTTTTGCCTCCAACTTAGGCAAACAATCTAAGGATACCTTCGACTTGCACGAGAAGCTATCGCAACATAAATCTCTCAATAGCTTCTCATTTGCTGGCAAACTTAAATATATCCTCTCAAAATAAGTGTCTGATTAAAAAAGTACCTTGATAACTTAGCAAAAATAAAAATAATGACCGATTGAAGTGGATCGTACATCTATTTGATGCTCTGCGCATGGCCGCATCAAGATGGCCGCCGGGTCCCTTCACAAGTTTGGACTAATGATCATAGCAGAGGCCCTTATGCTCGACTGATCCTTATCCTAATCAATTAACCTTCACAAGTTGAAGAAGTTTTTGAGAGATGACAATGTTTGAATAATGTATAACGATTTTGTTGCAGGTTCGGTTTGGAAAAAGACGACTGTGCTCGTTTCATATCCAGCCTGTCGCTGCAGGGTACTCCGTTGAGTTCATCCTGCTCGGCATCGCAGACGATGGTCTGCAACCCGAGGGCTAAATACCGAAGCATCGACGGCACTTGCAATAACGTTGAAAATCCGACCTGGGGTAGTGCGATGACCGCGTACACCAGAATTCTCTTCCCCCAATATTTCGACGGTAAGGATCCTTCCTACCGTGTGGTCCAGGCTTCATTCCCCGTTTTCATTAACGGTCTATCGTTCTCGCGAAGTGTCGGTTCGGATCGTGTGAAATTCGTGACCTAACATCATACGGGAGATATTTCATTTTTGTGGTATAATAATACAATTATTTGCAGCCTATGAACGCTTAGCGCTTCCCTTTTCCCTTTTGTCCCTCATCCTCTTTTTGTCTCATCTCGTAATTTTGGCTGACGATTTACGGTTGATAACCGAGTTTGATCTTCCATTGACTTAGTAAGGAGCTAGTAAGTTAGCAAGGAGCCATCTTGGATGTGTTCTTCAGCTGTTTGAGGTGTTTATTAGTAGGTGAACAGATCATTGCGTGACTAGTAAGCTCAACCTCTTCAAGGACTTGTGCATTCAGTTTGCTTTCTAATTCACAAATGTGGACATCATCTTTTCAGAATTTGTCGTCATATGACATATTTTTAAATCACTTCTTCTTCAAAAAAATTATCCCTGAAGAGGTTGCAAATAAGATGACAGAACTAAAAAATGCAAATTTCTGAATCAGTAGCCTTCACATCTCTTGCATAATGAATATATTTCGATCACTCGACTTCTATTAATCAGACAGACGTCTGATTATTCTGAGGATTCTCAAACAGGTTTCTCGAATAATTTTTCGGATCAAGGAAGCATCAGAACTAACCTTTCGTAACGTGTGTCGTATAGGTACTCTAGGAACTCTTCCTAGTAAAGGTGTCGAAGCTCGAAAAATCGTTGCAACGCAAACAGTCGTTATCAACCTCGACCTACTAACCCACCTAGTCCGCTCACAAACCTTGCAAAAACATACGATATCACACACTCACATACACGAAACGGAACACGTGATGCAGGACACGGACATACACAACAACGACGCAAAAGAAATCAAATACATTCAATTTTAGTTTGAATAAAAAAAATATGAAAAAAAAAATGTATATGAAAAGAAAACGAGCACACTCTCTGATCCTTGGGCGCTATGGATTAAAAAACGTTCGTCGATTGGCTTAACAAATTATATTCTGTGATTTGCATTACAGTTGTTGTGCGATAAGGCACATAGAGCATAAAATGCCTGAGTGTAGCAGTGAATAATACTGCCTACAATAGGGTGCCCCGGTCGGGAGATTCTATCCAGCAGTAGAATGTGTATGTAAACTAATTCGGATATACCTAATAATGTATCATATTTTATTATTGTAACACTAGTTCAACTATTTTCTGTTGATTGCGGTATACGGGTCTCGTTAAAGGTGTCCGAGTCAAGCGAATGACAAATTGGGAGAGCCGTTCGCTAATTCTGACCCTACGACACTTTGATGGATTTGGTAGACGAATTGGTACTTGGGATCATTTGGAGGGGTTTGTGGGAGTTAGCGGGACTTTATATTGGGGGGTAATGTAGGGTTGGGAGTAAGGGACACCCACTACTTGGTTTGGATTTTTTGGAAATTTGGATATCCTCATATTCCTACATTCGCTGATTCATCTATTCCCACATATGTGAATGCTCATGTCCTCAACTTCCTACATTTGTAACCACATTCAATCCTCAGATCTTCAGATGCTTACATTATCAAACTTCTAAGTGCTCAACTCCTTAAGTACCAAGTGTCAGACCTCTAAAATCCAAATGTGGATATCATTGAACCTTAAAAGTCCACATATGTAACTTCTCACATCCTCAAATTTCCATATTCCTCAATTCCTAAATGTCCAAGTCTTCAAATACCAAGTGTCAAACATGTGGATATGACTAAACTCTAACTTCCACATCTGTAAACCCCGAATCCTGGGATTCCCAAATTCCTAAATGTCCAAATCCTCAAATCCTAAGTGCTCAGACCACTAAATCCCAAATGTCCAAATTACCATATAGCTAAATCCCAAATCTCCACATCTGTAAATCCCTAAATGAGTCCTATACTCTCCAAATGAGACCTAGAATCCCAGAATGAGTCCTAGACCTAGAATCTCCAAATGAGTCCTAGTCCTAGAATCCCAGAATGAGTCCTAGACCTAGAATTCCCAACTGAGTCCTAGTCCTAGAATCCCCAAATGTGTCCTAGACCTAGAATTACCAAATGAGTCCTAGATCTAGAATCTCCAAATGAGTCCCAGTCCTAGAATCCCCAAATGAGTCCTAGTCCTAGAATCCCCAAATGAGTTCTAGACCTAGAATCTCCAAATGAGTCCTAGTCCTAGAATCCCCAAATGAGTCCTAGTCCTAGAATCCCCAAATGAGACCTAGACCTAGAATCCTCTAATGAGTCTTATAATCCCCAAATAAGTCCTACAATCCCCAAATCCCAAACCTATCTCCAACTTCCAATCACCAAAAAACTCAAAAGACCCTCAACCAAAAACCATCGAGTAGTGCGGTCATTTTCCCCCATACATTTTCCCCCACGCACACTCCCCAACGTACAGATCACAGACAATCATCTCCCAGTTTGATTCTCTCGCTTGGGCACCTTCATCAGTCACCAGAATAAATTACTTGATTCCTTCTGCGAGCGTTCTCGACGTGATATCACGTTCTATCTGTTACCAAGCATCATATACCTATTCGAATGAGAACGATCGTATTGAAAAGTCAGTTCTCAGCGCGCGTGTTTCGTCGATAACGCATCAGAAACGTCATGTGTCGAAGTAGAAGATAAATCATAAAAAAACGTTCAGTTGCTCTGCAGCGCGAGAGTAATCGTTTAATCCAGGGATCAGCGCTGGGGAAAAGAACAGAATCGGGGTTAGGATGACATTGAGGGTCATTTTAATGGGTGGTCTCTGAACAGCTGTCGCGAGCTGGAGGCAGGTTAGGCACGGTTAGGCACGCGGTTTTTTACGCAGGATTTTAATACGTATTCGGTCGCGGACTTTGGCTCGCTCTCGCGCTGTACAGACACTACACGCGCGATTTTTGTTCAAGTCGGAGTAACCGGTCCTTTTTAAAACTTTGCTTTGCATTTGATTTTGATTTTGTTAAGAATAAGATACTAGATGTCATAATTGTCTAGATGTGATTGCTATGAGATGTTAGGGATTCAGTAAAGGTAGAGACAGTGTTACTCCGATTTGGCGCCATGTGGGTTGTGAAACATGAGCCTAATGCTTCGTTTGGCGACCAGGAATCCAAGAACCGAGGCGCATGGGCCGCACCAAAAAACCGCTACCAGGTGCCAGGACCGTAAGCGTGGCTCTGTCGACCCCTAACGATCTTTCCGATGTCAGTAGGACGTTGACGGTCATGCAGTGGGGGCAGTTCATTGCTAACGACATGTCTTACACTCCTGTGAGGAAAATGAGTGAGTACCTTTTTGCTGTTTCACTTGGTTTGCTACTTTGTACCGTTTGACCAAATATCCAAAGTTGTATTTAAATTTCTGAAGTTCCAAATGTCCACATCACTAGTCTACATGTATTCTACATGTCTAAGTTATCAAACCCTCAAACTTTTAAGTTTACAAATCTGGGAATTCTCAAATCCACAACTCTTCAAATCTTTAATAACCTGAGGTCTCTCAAATCTTCAAATCCTCACATCCCCAAATCCCTAAGTCTTCAAATCTCCAAATGTTCAAACCTGCAAATCCACAACTCTCCAAATCTTTAATCCTCCAAATCCATATCTTCAAATCTTCAAATACCTGAGGTCTCTCAAATTTTCAAATCCTCACATCCCTAAATCCCTAAGTCTTCAAATCTCCAAATGTCCAAACCTGCAAATCCTTAAACCCTTAAGTCCTCAAATCACCAAGCCTCCAAATCTTCAAATCCTCAAATTCTCAAACCCTCAAACCCCTAAATCTTCAAATCCTCAAATCCTCAAACCCCTAAATCTTCAAATCCTCAAATCTCCAAACCCCCAAATCTCCAAATCCTCAAACCCTGAAACTCCCAACTCTCCAAATCCTCAAACCCTGAACTCTCCAAATCCCCAAATCCTCAAATCCTCAAATGGACAACCAAAACTTTACACAAAACCTTGTAAAGCAACCCTGAGTCAATGACATATGTGTCTATTTCTGACCACAGTTTCATCAGGAAAACCGATATCCTGCTGCCAACCAGACGGAAGCGCCCTATCACCTCGTCACGTTCATCCCGATTGCTCTGAGATCACAGTGCCCGATCAGGACCCCGTCTACGGAGAACATTATGTTCGGTGCATGAATTACGTGCGATCGTTGCCTGTCCTCAAGTCGGACTGCACTTTCGGACCCACCGAACAGGTTAGTTCTGCCTTTCCATAATACACTGCTCACGTAAGGGAGTATGTCATAATATCCATAAATTTGCATGAAAACCAGGTTTTTCCATGTTTGGTCGCGAAGGTTGATTAATTATACGGAAAACAGATTATTCTGATGTGTCATATGACTACTGAGACCTTCGGTACATTCATTACTGTGAAGGCTAATGTTTGAACTTTAAGTTCGGTTTGAAGAATAATGGAGACAATGTTTAATTTATATGCTTGATTATTTATAAACTTAACTTTATATGTTAAAATTAATTATGAAGATGTATTATTTGAGTGAAATTTCATTTCAATAAGCGTGCAAAGATCATTCTTATTAGAGAGTAATTTAGGTTCATAAGTAACAAGGTTGGCGTTGTTAATTAACAGATGAACCAAGCTAGCCACTTCTTGGATGGTTCAGCGATTTATGGATCGAATTTGAAGAAGTCGCGAGAACTTCGTACGTTCGAGGGTGGTCGCTTAAGAGTTCACAAGGACAACAGCCACGAGTACTTGCCAACAGGTGGTATGGAGTCCTCTATCTACTGTGCGGACGGCTGTTATAATTCCGGTAATTTTTATCAAAATATATATTCATCCGAATATTTGATTCTAGCTGAACACTTCATTCTAACTAAGATCAGTTTCTGCATTTGTCCTCATTTATGTCACCATAAGTACCTCGTCCGAATCAGAACATAAAACTCAAACCACAGTCACATAATTCACCCTAAAAATATCTGGAAGTTTCGAAAGATAAAAATAGCAATAAGTTAAGCAATTAATTAATTAATCCCTTGTTATGTTACAGGTGATCATCGTGTGAATACCTATCCCCAGCTGGCTGTGATACACACCGTCTGGCATCGCGAACATAACAGAATCGCCAACAACCTTGCCGTGTTAAATCCACACTGGACCGACGAAACGTTATACCAAGAAGCCAGACGTATAGTAATTGCTGAAATTCAGCATATCACTTTCAAGGAATGGCTGCCCGTATTATTGGGCAAGAGATATACTCGAGCCATCGCGCTCAACGAGGGTAGTAACTATAGTCACCACTATAATTCTGCGGATGATCCGGCAGTAAGCAACGAAGTAGCGACGGCTGCTCTTAAATTTATGACCTCTTTGATGCAAGGAAAGATACGGTGAGTTTTAAATTTCATTGTTAAGATGAATTTAGGTACGGATGATCGGATCTCTAATTTGGTTTCTTTTTTGCAGTTTGACCGATAATGCACGTATGGTTAATCAGACTCTGTCGTTGGCGGAGTATTTCTTTAAGCCGAGTGTTATCGAGTCGGATGAAGTTTTTGATGGCTTACTTCGTGGTATGGCTACGCAGACCAGCCAGAAAATGGATGTCAGTGTAATTGCAGAGGTGAGTTGTCAAATTTTGAATTTTTGTAATTCTTAAATTTCTAACTTCCTAATTTCTCAAATAACTTACTCCCCAAATTTTCAACGCCTCAGTTCTTAAATTTCCAGCGTTCTAATGTGGGTATATCCACATTACCCAAATTAATTCCTCAGTATCCTAAGTTTCCAGATTACTAGATCTCTAACTTTCTAACTACCTAAGCTCTTAACCTCTTAAATTTCTAAATTCCCAAACACCTGAACTTCTAAATTTCCAAATCCCCAAATTCCTATCTCTCCAAACTAAATCCCTACATCCTCCACTCCACAAATCCCCAAATACATCCACATCCGATTAGCTTTTATATCAGTCCACATCAAAAAGAATGAAAAACACTTAATCCCTGAAACTGAGGAAATGTCAAATTGCTGACTCAACGTGTCAATTAACGTTACAGATTACCAGCAAGCTATACGCAGGAGATCCAGACAGCCTAGGTTTAGATGGTATCAGTCTGGACATTCAGCGCGGACGTGATCACGGATTACCAGGCTACAATCAATATCGCAAATACTGTGGCCTTCAGCCTGCGAAGAACTTCGATGACTTCTTAGATCACATTCCATTGGAGGTAAATTGCTGCTATTTACAATTTTATTTGAAAGATGTAGCCAACTCTAGTTGACGAGTGATCCAAAGGAAGCTCCCAGAACACTGCCAGTTACATTTCGCATTAAAATTTGAAGATCATGAAACTATTCTGTTTATTTCGTTAACAGATGATAAAGAAGCTGCGCAATGTTTACGCACACCCCGACGACGTTGATCTTCTTATTGGTGGAATGGCTGAAAGACCAATGGAGGATGCACTCTTAGGACCCACATTCCACTGTTTGATCTTTGAGCAATTCGCAAGAACTCATCGTACCGACAGATACTTCTATGATTCCGTATATCAGCCACATCCTTTCACGCCTGGTAAGAATAGTTCAGTGATGAGTATTCATTATCAAGGTCACGATGACCTCTAATATTGTCGATATGAACTATGAACCAGGGGTTAAGAATAGTACGATTAATATTTCTTGATGTCTTCATTTAATTAATGTTTATATCTTATTTTTCTAATGTTTATAATTTATGTTACAGTGCAATTAGCGGAGATACGCAATGCGACATTGGCGAGAATATTCTGTGATAACGGGAACAACGTCACCAAAATGCAACCAAATGTATTTATTAGACCACAATCAGGGTAAGCTGACATTTCTTGTAATATTAATTATTTTTTCTAATTTATTTTTAAGACCCATCCTAATTCTTCAAATTTGAAAAGTTTTCAAAGTGCCAATCCAATCCCTCAAACTCTCTAGATTTACAAAGTCACTCCACAATTACCCAAACTCCCAAAATTCCCTAAGTCCCAAACCAATCCCTCAAACTCCTAAAATTCCCAAAGTCACTAACCCAGAATCCCTCAAACTCCCAAGATTCCCAAAGTCCCACCTCAATTCCCCAAATTTCCAAAATTCTCAAAGTCTCAACCCAGCCCCTCAAACTCCCAAAATTCCCAAAGTCCCACCT